TATGTCATGCATTTATATGCTGTCTATGCATGATCCCAAAATACATGTCTGACTCTAGCATGTACTCTATTAATTCTAAGGCTTGTATTTCTATACTTTTCTGGAAAGCCCAAAGTTCTATTCTAATAACACACTTAACTTAAACGTTTTCTATTTTATTCTTTATTTCTGAATTCTATGCATCGTGTGTACGTACGCGATTCTATAATTTCTACATAATTCTTCAATTCTATCATGCTATGTAAAATGTACACGTATACAAGTACATTGACTCTCACAAATTCTATTATTCTATAATTTTATTAGTGAGATATTAAAACAACACAATTCAACTAGGGAATGAATTCTACATTTTGGGTAATCTAATTTCTTCTATAAAAAGCTATGCTACAACATAGGTATTAAGTCTACTAACTTGCCCAATTATGCTACTAGATTTTCTCAAACTTATATGTCACATAACCACGTCATTAAACAATTCTCTAATATTTTTCTAATGTATCAAACATGTCTTGTACAACTTTCTAAATACAAATCTTAATGCCATAAATTTTCATTCTCTTACATGACCGTCAACTTCAAGTGTTATACGTGCCCTTCTTTCTTCTTTTCTTTTGGCTACATTCTATACATTAATCTATATTGCCATATTAATCATTGTAAATTCAATCTAACATATGACACAACATATATACTTTGGTTAAATTCTAATTTTTTTCTAACATTCTTAACTAAACTTTTGGCCAATACAACCTACTCTCAAGATCTTCTAGCACAATTCTATAGCTTGTAATATATAATAAGGCATGAAAATTATACTCATACCAATCAATTTCTAAAATGGTCATGTATTTAATATATAAGCTAAACTTCTATTTCTTTTATGTTTCTTTTGATAACTATACTTGAGAAAAAATTTCTATTCTTTATACAATAAAATCACTTATTACATACTGTTTGTAATTAATCTCAAAACAAGAAACAACAATATACTTATTTGGGCGAGCCATTATTTGGATGATCTTTCTAAATTCAAGTACTCAAACTTGAGAATTTATTATGACATATTGATATGTCATGACATAATCTACAATTCTCTACTATCAACAATGTCATAACAAAGTAACAATTTAACATGTAAATCCCTTTTAACACTTTCCCAAAGTCATAAGTTTCACAATTTCTAATTCAATAACTAAATAAAATGTGTTATTGAAGAAATACTAAAGGTACAAGTAACTTGAACCATGCACTAAAAGCTATTTATCTCATTGAACTAACATGACCAAGTGATATTCTAAATTTTGGCATAACAAAATGCACTCTTGAATACTAAAATTTACACTTGGTTAAGCCTAACATAACCTTTCGACTCCAATTCTTTCCTTTCTCTAACAATTTCTTCAATAAGATTTAACAAACTCATGCATGCATTTCTCTTTGAATTTTCATCAAACAATTCACATGCACATGCAAATACTTAGTTGGCCTCACTTCCTCATCTCTCCAAGTCCACCAAAATTGGAGCAAAAACTCACTAAATTTAACTTCTAATTGGCTGGATTCAACGCTTCAAAATTTCATCAACAATTCTTCCACATTACATCCATAATTCCACCAAATCTCCACATACACATGAACTATTTCTCATGGCTGGAATTTTATACATCATTCAACATTGAAATAGCCAATAATTCTCACCATACAATCACATACAACATACAAGAATCAATCTACATAATTATTGCTTAAATCAGAACTAAAATTGGATTTACTTACCTTGAATTTGTGCAACACTAATGATATAACCTCCCTTTGCTAAAATTCTCTTCCTCTTGGACTAAATCATATAAAACCATAAGAATTTAAAACTTTAATCACAACCTTTGTGCTAGAATCTTACCTTTGGATGCTTTAGGATTGAAATCTACAAAAATTTTAGCAAACTCTTATGAATTCTCTTTGAAATTTGGTGAAGAAGTTTGAGAGAAATTGGATGAGGGGTGGCATATACAAGGGATGGAATGGCTAGGGTTTAGTTTATTGAAACCTTATAACTAAATAAATAAATATATTCCCATTTTGCCCTTGCACTTTTATAATAATTCCAACAAATGTCATACGTGCATTTACCGATATACCCTCACTTTCAATGGATTTAACACATGTTCTTAGTCATTTTCACTCCCCACTTTTTCATTTAGTTGTGAGTGAAAAAACTATTTTACCCTTATTCTTTAGTTTCTTTCTATTACTTTACAAACACGTATTTATCTCGGCATCATATCACGTGTATTGTCCATAACCTTTCTACCACTCCATTCTCATGGCTAGCACACTTAATACTATATATTTATCATACTCACTTTTCACTTGAACACGTGATTCTGTGTGAAATGACCTTTTTGCCCGTATTGAAACTTTTATGGAATTCCTTTATAAAACTAGTTAATATATTCACTATGACTATAAAATAATCCTTATCATATTTCTGAATGTGGGTATTACAGACCCAAGGCCAAATTCGATCTCTATCAACTAGCTAAAAGTTAGATATGGCCTCTTTGGGCATCGAGAAGCCAAATTCGACCTTTATTGACGTTGAAAAGCATCTAGCCTTTACGATGCCATGAGGCTAAATCTCACCTCTCGACATCGATAAAGGTCAAATCTAGCCTTAGCTAGTAGTCGAGAGGTCTTATTAGCCTCAATAGTTGTCGTCGTAAAGCCTTTATAGCTTTGGTGATTGCCACAAGGCCTTGGTGGTTTCTAGCTTCATCAAATTGCTCTTCGAGGTGTTGGCGACCACTTTTGAGAGGTAGAGGTGTTTTGGAAATTTGTTGTTGGGGGTTTTTTTTGTAATTTTTAATAAGTTTGACAAGGGTAAAAAAGTCATCTTGCAATCCAACTGATTTACAGTAACAGAGTTTGACAAAATAGAGGTTAAGGTCTCATTTCTTATATGTGCGAGAGTTTGCTTTCATTAGGCAATGTACATGGGGGTTTTCTGTAATTATTTCTTTATCAAAGATTTGAAAATATCTTTTATAATCACTCTTTTGTAAATAAATAAAAAAAAAATTATTTATACTATTTTTTTATTAATTTTAAACCTTATAATAAAGTACATAATGACTATACAGAACATTTTCTTATGTTTTTTTTTGTGTTTTTGTTATACAAAATTTTTCTTAGTTTTTTGTTTTACAAACAACCCAAATGGTAAATAAACACGTATATAAAGTAGAAAATGAAACATAAAAAATATATAGAAAAATGAGAAAAATCAATTACTCATCCTATAGTTTCCGAAAGTCGGGTTTTTGGGTAATTATGGACTTTGTAGGCTTAGTTTGGGATTGTTGTAGCTTGTCTCATAATCATTTATAGGCCAACTTTTGAAATAATCAACTACAAAAATAATTTATGAAGTGTTTGTTTTGTTAAATTTTAAAATTACTTTTAATTTTGAGATGACATATAACTCATGCAAAGAGAACAGAATAGGAGTTTTTTAAATATTTTTTTCTATTATTAATAATATTAAAATGTAATTATTTTCATTAAAAAGTTGAAAATTTTAAAAAATTGAAAACTAGTCTGCAAATAAGTTGTCACTGATGGCTGGCTGCCGCAGAAAATTCTTCAAAAGCAAGTGGGTCGACATGGCCAACAAGGTTGCATAAATCGCTTGTCACCGAGTGCTACTACGTTGGTGGAGTTGTCAAATACTGTGTCATTGATCCGTAGTGTTCGATCAAACTTTGCCAGACCATTGCAGCTAAGCGCTGCCATCTTTTGTGACACCGTCGACACGATTGCACTACCAACGAGCGCAACCGTGCTGATGGTGTCGGTCCACTCATCGCCGAAGAATTTTACCACTAGTCGACCGATCAGTTATGAACTTTTCTGTTTTTAATATTTTATTTAAATATTTTTATTGAAATATATTTATAATTTAAGTTAATCTTGGGTGATTTTGTAATTAGCCCTTTTAAAAGTAGCTTTTGAATTTTGAAGGCTATAAGTGCTTTTAAAATCCTTTTATAAAATAGATTTTTTCATAATCAAATTGTTGAATAATCACTTTTCAAATTAGTTTACCAAATTTTTTTGAATTGTAAATAATGAAGTGATTATCGGAGAAGCTAATGCAACTTCAAACTCACTCTTAAATCTTAATAAACTGATCTCTACAATTTTCAAAAAATATCAGTCACCGTTTAAAACCATAATGCCCTCCAAGTTCTGAAAAAATGTCAAGGGCAAGATGGTCATTTCATTTCATCCTTCTGTCTTGTTTCCTTTATTATTTTGCCCCCTCATTCTTCTCATTTTTTTCCTTTCCTTCCCACCGTGACCCCCTTTGTTCATCTTCAAACAAAAGAATTTTCTTTTATTCTCTCTCTTTCACTGAAGTTCCCTTTTCTTCTCCCTCTTTGATTTTTCGTTTTGAAACAAAATTCCACAACCACCACTTTGAAATTAATTTTTTTTTCTTCACCAAATAAACCGATTTCAAATAAATAAATATTTGGTAAATTATTTCCAGCCGAGACAGACAAAGCTCAAGCAGAGCCATACAGTCTCGAAGCCTGTCTTCTCCAACTTCTCCACGATCACCACCACTCCATTCTCAAACTCAGCCAACAAACGTTGTTTGAGCAATGTTAAAATTAGTACTTCGGTCAATAGTAAGTGCTACCATGTATCTCTTTTCATACGTATACCTAGCCGAAATGACTTATCCAGAAAAAAGTAGGTCATATCATTAAATCAGCAAGTCATGTTATCATCAACATAAGGGACAACAGTGGAACCAATTCATGGCTGCAGCCATGCACGAGAGTGTCAAGTTTGATTTTTACAATTAAATTTGGATCAGAGTAACTTAGCAAAGTTAAAACCGTTATGAGAAAGAAAACAGGCTGAACTGGCAATCTACTCATTCCGACCATATTACCCCACGAGTACTGCTGTATCCTGCATCTAGTATTTGTATGCATAGGGCAGCTAAAATGGTTGCCATTCAGCAAAATGCATTACGAAACTTCAATAAAAGTACTTGTAATCACTGTACATGTGCGCTGTCATGTTCAAAGACTAAAGCATCGCTTCTCCTTGTTTGTTTAAAACAAATACAGATATGCCACCGTTATTCACATCTATTGCGCGAAACCTGAAACATCAAGAGGCTTATGAGAGCTGATTGCCAAAAGATCATGTCAGGAATATGTTTTATTATGAATATATAATTCTAAGATAAATGATCTTAGCAAGCACATTTCCTTCAATAAGATGACTAAGACCATTTAGAGATGATCTGTGACTTATATGGAAAAAGGAAAAAGATGTGTTGCCAAGAGCAGTGATTAGAAACCGAACCTGTGTAGTGACCCAACCAAGCCACCGGGTCCGGGTTGAGCGGTTTAACCAGTTTGACCGGCAGGTAAAACTAGTATCCAAAGGTTTGAAATCCAACAAAAATAACCCTAAAAATTACTATAAGTCTCTATAGGTTTAAAATTTTGCAAAAACACCCCAAACACCACCGTCGGTGTCGGCAAATAGGGCGTGTGTCCAGCGACAACACTCCCCATCACCATGAAAACACTCCCCTCAGCCTCTTGACCAAAACCTATCTCACCCCTCCCTCGTTAGCCGCCTCAATTGCCAGCAATAGCGGGCTTTTTTCCGTGACTTATTTTTGCGATTTCCGATCGATTCATTCATCGGAAATCACCTTCGTCGCCACCATTCCACTCGTTGGCCATTCCTCTTCAAAAGCCCTAACATTTCAACCTTCAATTGTTTATGGATTAATGTCCTAATTTCTAGGGTTTTGAATGAATAGGAAAAATTTTAACCCGACCTGGTTAAGGCCCCAAGTCCCGCTTAAACCGGCCGGGCTGGGCTGGGTTCCTAATCACTGGCCAAGAGCACTCATGTCATCTGAAAATCAGGAAATATAACTCAAAACACATTCGAACTAAAGGCAAAACTCCACCTAGAAGGTGATTTCATGGCAAAGCTTCAAAGAGAAAAGAGGGCTATATCATATAATATTCATGGAATTCTCAAGTTAAGATCAAATGTGATTGAGAATAATCACAGAGATCACTGGCATAACTGCAATTATGATAAGACCATCACATACCTCTCTGGGCCTAGCCCTAAAGCTGTGCAGATAAGCACCCTCAAAATTGATTTGTGAGTGACAACCAATAAGTTCTTTCCCTGAAAGAAACCTGTCAAAAAAATCTATTTGAAACATAAGAAACACAAACAACTACAGGCATGAAAAGGACATACAGGTGTGGATAGAATTTCCCTCCAAGCCTCCCTAGCTGTTCCCCATAGTTTTCTTACAAGATAGACACCATTCACTTCAAAGTTAGCAGGATTTTCTCTCCAAGTTGTATACTCCTTTGGATACTTCTGCCTAGCTTCCACTGCCTCCAAATACTGAGCATGATTTAGTCTCATAGATTTGGAAATAAATGAAATATTTGAACAAGTTCTGTTCTAACGTGGAAATGTGATGAGTAGACGCACTATTTTCGAAAGAAACTACAGTATAAAAATTATAGTATACATGAAGCAAATTCTGTTTCAAGTAAATGTAATATTTTTAGAACTTTCGGAATGAATACAAGGGGAGACTGACCATTTTTCAATGAATCAAGGAAAAATAGATGGGCCTTCTTCAATGAATCAAGGAAAACAAGTGGCTCATCCCTCCCTAGCCATAAAACTTCAGCAGTGGTCTGCATGAAACATCTATAGTTAAAAAAATAAACAAGCTAACACTGAATATTAGAAGGGTTTATGATGGTATCTATACTTTGGCACGAGATATTGGACTTGAAAAGCATCGATCAAAGGATATATTTCTTAAAGCTTCCCGACACCTCTCTGCTTGCCTTACTCCAATTTCTGTTAGCACAGACAAATTTGAGCTTCCCTGCATACATGCTTGAAGTAATGAAGTTATCATCTGATTTGATTTCCTTAATAAAATTCTCTCTGTTTCTCATTGGAAAAATGGAAAAAAAGATTCAAAATAGCATCCAGAATGGCATTTCGAGGCACAGAAGAAGGATTAGACTTGAATTTTATGTCCACAGAAAGTAAACAACTTCATGAAAGCCTAAAAGAAAAGGTTAAGATGGCGAAAAATGCGAGAGGAATAAGAATTAAGGCCAGGAATTCAGGTGATTTTTCTTCTTGTCATGGATGAAATTTCAGTGATATTAACAAGTCTATACTATACTTCACCATCAGATTCCACCAAAGCCTTTCTCCGATGTATTAGCAAGTAACGAAGGGCAGAAACACAACCAAACTATACAAAGAAAACAGATGTAAAAAAGAAACAAAGAAGCAAGAACTGCTCAAGGAACATTCAATTCACACATCCCTTGTTAGTAAAATAAGAAAGGCAACAAACCTGAACTATGCCCTCATCATTCCAAGAACTAAGACCATGCCTTACAAGAGTGACCTTTTTTGGTCGATGAGATCAACTTTTGAGTGAGAGATGTTGTTGCTCTATCAAAACCATAAGCGCCACCAGTCACAGAAGCATCACTATGAAGTTTCCCTGTCATAATCAAATTATTAATATTCAAAACCAACTTGAAGTTAGAATTAGATGAGACAACAACTTTAGAAAAATATTTCGGCTGTCATTCACATTCTTAATGGGCGTATCACCTGCAGACATAAACACAACTGTTGAGGGGGGTGAGATAGGGCTTCAATTAGATTTTCAATTAGCAGGTACTTCAGTTTAGCTCAGTTCTTCTCTTGGAAGGCATACTATGTTGACTAGGTTCATTAAATTGTCATATCACAGGAACTCCGCAAAGTTTTTACCTCTCTCAACACAAAATCCCTCTCCCCTCCTTCTGCAGTTATCATATAATAGGTACAAAGAAGAAGAATTTTAGGCTATACACATCAAACAAAGTATGCTTGGCCAATGGATATAAATAGGAATGCACCGCTACTAAACATTGATTTACTGCCTCTGAAACTACAACTATTCGACCTTCAACTAGGCAATATGAAGGTTTCAGTGCCACAACCCTATATAAAGAGAGCATGTAATACACATAAGGAGAGAAGCAAATGTTAGACATTAAAAAATGACCACTTGGCATAAAATAACACTACCTTTAATAGTAAAAAACCTATAAAATAGCTATAAATTGTTCAAGGAAGATTGCCTCTCTCAGTTTTAGGTCCCATACACAAACAAATGGGGCTTATGCAAACTTCCCTGTTTTGTTTATCATTGACCATTCAATATAACACAATCACGTCCAACGATGTCTCAAAGCCAAAACGTGCAACCTAAATTTCACATACAGACTCCAATTTCTTTTCATTTTTTCTGCAACTTGCATACAAATCCCAAGACAAATCCCCCCAAAAGAAGAACTTCACATAAAGCTCTTACAATTCTTCTAGGACTGATACCACAGGACAAAATTCTCTCAACCCATTGTATGTCGACTATCACTTAGAATTGTAAAGAAACTTTTTAAGATCAATTTTTGAGCTAAGAGAGGGTGCTCACCAGTATTTGCAGGCAAGTCTAGACCGGAATCTGAACATACAATTCTAACTGTTGAACCGTAAGTGGTCGGACGATGATTAAAGGCTCTTTTGGCATCAAATTTGGAGGCTAAATCCTAGCACCAAGGGCTGGTCAAGGACAAAACTCCACAAACCATCGTCCTCTGAATCGGGGTACTCAGGATTTTGTTTTTGTGTTCATGGTTCTAAATTTGTTTTAACTATAAGCTTTGAGGCTGTTTTAACTTTTAACGCTTTTATGGGAATATTCCAATATGCACTATTGTGTGCAGCATCTTATTTGAGCTATCTGTAATGTCCAAATCTGAGACCGCCTAATCTTATTGGTGGATGTTGATTGTGTTAGACAATTTAATTGAATACTAACAAATCCTAAATCCTGGGAAGCGAAAAATAGTGCTAACAAAGAACATAAAATAGCCACATACACAAACACAAGATTTATATTGGTTCACTCTTCGTATGAGAGCTACGTTCATTTTACCGCTGTGAAATTTCACTATGAAGAAGAATAAAAGAAATTACAAGAATCTCTTATAAGCCTCACAAATTGGCTCACTCACTAAATCCTATTTGATGGCTCTTACTCTCTAATTGTGGCTTTGCCTTCTATTCAATTTGTGTTCTCTAACTCTAACACTTAACCACTTTGTATAGGTAATACATGAGACACTATTCCTAATAGGACTCAAATCACATACCCTAATAAGAATTATATTTTAATTCCTAATATAATTATAATCATATTCCCAATTATATTCCTAAAAGAAAACAATTCTACTTCAATACAAATTAGGAAAACCCATGTCCTAATCCAACTCTAATTTGGATTGAATTTGGCTCCACAATCTCAACAATCTCCACTTAGAGACTAATTCAACATGTTTTCAATTCTTCACTTCCATTAGCAGTGGCATCAATTTTTCTTTCTTCAAGCGAGAAGTCCAACTGAAGTTGTACACAACTTCAGTTTCTCAATGGTAACCACCTTCGTGAACATATCAGTTGGATTTTTACTCCCTTCAATCTTCTCGAGCGCTATAACTCCTTCCAAAACTAAGCATATGAAATGGTAACGAACTTCTATGTGTTTTGTCCTAGCATGGTAAACTAGTTCTTTGCCAGGTGAATTGCACTTTGGCTATCACGATACAAAGCGCTCTTCTCATAATTCTGCTCAATTCTTCTAGGAACTGTTGTACCATATTAACTCCTTACTAGCTTCTGTCATAGCAACATACTCTGCCTCTATAGTAGAAAGAGTAACAATTTTCTGTAACTTTGAAACCCAACTAACTGTTGTATGACATAACCTGTAGTACTCTTGCGGTTATCAATATCACCAGTCATATCATCATCCACATAACCTTGTAGCTTTGAGTCTGTCTTCCTAAAGCATAATGTTGAATCTTTAGTACCTTTCAAATATCTGAGAATCCATTTTACTACTTCCCAATGTTGCTTTCCTAGATTGCTCATGTACCTACTCACAACTCCCACTGCATGTGTTATGTTTGGACTTGTACACACCATGACATACATAAGACTGCCAATTGTTGATGCATAGGGTACCTTGGCCATGTACTCTCGCTCATGCTCTATTGTAGACTGATATTTGGATAGTTTAAAGTGATTAGCCAAATGAGTACTTACTGGCTTTGCTCCATCAATGTTGAACCTATTGAGTACTTTCTTCACATAATCTTCTTGTGATAGCTTCAAGAAACCTTTGGTTCTATCTCTGGTAATCCTCATACCAAGGATTTGTTTTGCAGTTCCTAAATCCTTCATAGCAAACTCCTTTGACAATTGCCTTTTCAGCTTGTCTATTTCCTGTTTACAAGCCCCTGCAATCAACATGTCATTTACATATAGTAATAAGATGATATAGGAGTTACCAAGTTTTTTGAAATAACAGCAATGATCTGCTTGGCATCTGAGGAAACCGTTACTATACATAAACCCATCAAACTTCTTGTACCACTGTCTAGGCACTTGTTTTAGCCCATATAGGCTCTTTTGAAGTTTGCACACCATTCTCTCCTTTCTTTGTACTTTAAAACCCTGTGGCTGCTGCATATAAATTTCTTCATCCAGTTCTCCATGAAGAAACGTCGTCTTTACATCTAACTACTCAAGATGAATGTCTTCTTTTGCCACTAACCCAAGTACTGTTCTTATTGTAGTCAACTTGACAACTGGAGAGAAAATTTCAGTGTAGTCAATGCCTTCTTTTTGCTGAAATCCTTTCATGACCAATATTGCTTTATATCATTTGGTGCCATCATATTCATCTTTCACCCGATAAACCCATTTGTTTTGCAACGCCTTCTTCCCTTATGGTAACTATGTTAACTATCAGGTTTGATTTGTTAATAATGAGTCCATCTCATCCTTCATAGCTAGCTCCTACTTGATTGAGTCATCAACTTGCATTGCTTCCTTGTAACACTCTAGTTCACCACCATCAGTTAGTAAAATATAGTGTATAGAATGAGAGTATCTCTATGGTGGTCTTATAGTCCTAGAAGATCTTCTAGGTTCAAACACGGGCGTTTGTGGTTCAACTTCTTGAGATATATTATCTTGATCTTCCTGGTCATTGTCTTGCATGCCATTCATTGGGAAGTCTTTCAAAGGAACTACCTCTTGCTTCTTCAATTTAGTGCTTGGATTTTCTAACTTCATGTTGAGCCTATCCTTGTACATCACTTATTCACTAAATATGATGTCTCTGCTCCTTATAATCTTGTAGTTTTGTTCATCCTCGAAATGATAACCAAACTTAGTCGCACCATAACCAATGAAAAAACATTTGTTAGATTTAGCATCAAACTTTCTTTTAAGAGTAGAGTCAATGTGAATATATGCTAAACAACCAAACACTCTTAAGAAAGAATAATTTACCTCTTTGTCACTCCAAACTTCTTCTGGGATCTTACAATTTAGCGATACAGAGGGTCCTCTATTGAGCAAGTAGGCTACAGTAGTAATTACCTCAGCCCAAAATGTATGTGGTAGTCCAACATGCAATCTCATGTTTCTTGCACGCTCATTTAGAGTTATGTTCATCCTTTCAGCGACACCATTCTATTGAGGATTGCAGGAATGGTCTTCTCCATCTTGATCCCATTACTGGCACAATATTTTTTGAACCCTTGATCAATGTACTCTCCCCCATTATCGGATCACAAGCACTTCACCCTTAAGTTTGTCTCATTTTCAACCATGGCTCTCCACTTTTAAAAGTATCAAAAACATCATATTTATTTTTGAAAAAATAAACCCATACCTTTCTGCTTGCATCATCAATGAACATTACATAGTACTTTGAGCCTCCAAGGGATGACACAGGAGTGGGTCTCCGCACATTCGTATGAACCAACTCCAACTTCTTTGCCTTTGGTTCCCTCACCACTTTGGAAAAACTTACTCTTCTCTGTTTGCCAAAGATGCAACCTTCACGCAAATTGTGATCAATCGACTTCAACTCTGGTAGTTTTCCTTTTGATTGAAGCTCCTTCATTCTTTTCACGCTCATATGCCCAAGTCTACAATGCCACAAACTCGAGGTAGCACTAACACTGCGACTGCAACTGCAACTGAATCTCTACAACTAGAAGTCATGTAAAGAGTTCCAGTTTCATTTCCACGAGCAACCACCATGGCTCCTTTAGTAACTTTCCATACACCACCTAGAAAGGACACACTATGTCTTTCATCCTCAAGTTGCTCAACTGATATTAGATTGCGCATCAAATTTGGTACATGCCTTACTTTCTGGATTTTCCACACATATCCGTTTGTCATCTTCAACCTAACATCACCCATACCTACAATATCCAAAGGTTCTCCATCTGCTAGGTATACATTTCCATGATTTCCAGCCACATAATTTTCTAGAATTTCATGGTGTGCAGTGGAATGAAACGAAGCTTCTGAATCTAAAACCCAAGAAGTATCTTGTATCTCCTTAGTTATGGCATTGGCGGCATCATTATCGTTGTTCTCCTCTTTCTTTGATGCTTTGCAATTCCTTTGTATGTGGCCTTTGTTGCCAAAATTCCAGCAATCGACCTTTTTCCCAAACCTGGACTTGCTTCTTCTGTTCCTTGATTTTGATCTTCCTCTGCCTCGGTTTGATTTTCTATTGTAGCCCCTGCCTCTTGTTTCAACATTCAAAGCATTTAATGTTATCTCACCTGAATCTTTCCTGCAAACCTCCTCAGCGGGAATTTTGTCTCTAACGTCTGTGAGTTTTAATTCCGCACTACCTGTTGAATTACTAATTGCTGCTCTCATAGGCTCCCAACTATTTGGTAGGAAGGCCATAAGAATGAGGGCACGAACTTCTTCATCAAAATCAATTTTTACAGATGACAGTTGATTAATAATTATATTAAAATAATTCATATGCTCTGTCACTGAAGCACCTTCTTTCATCTTAATATTAAATAATTTTTTCATAAGAAGTACCTTGTTATTCGTAGAAGGCTTCTCATACATATCAGACAAGATCTTCATCAACCCTGTTGTGGTTGTCTCCTTCGCCACATTGCTTACCATATTGTTAGTCAATGTCAACCGAATGACTCCTAATACAGTAATACTTGTCTATCAAGGAGTGCCCAATCTTCATTTAACACTGTTGTAGATTGTTGTAGATAATCATGCAAAATCTTACAGATATTGCATGATTAAGTGAATAAATCTATAATAGGATATTAGGATTGTAATCAATACATAATAGGAACAAATCTGTAAAATAGGAAGTTAGATTTTTTATTTCCTAGATTAGATTATTTATTTCCTAGATTAGTTCTTTATTTTCCTATATATTGATGTATAATTTGTCAATGCAATACATAAGAAAATTACAATCAGTTCTCTGTTTGTAACATGGTATCAGAGCAATACAAGCAATTCTAGGTTGTTTTTATTTTTTTCAGTTTGTTTTTTTTTTCTATTCTGCAAGTGAGCATTTTTGTGAGTCACCCTGGAGAGGGGCTATTTTTTCTCAGCGACTGCCTAGGAAGTTCCTCAGTTTCTCAGCCAGGTCAGAACAGTTTGTTGTTGTTTTGTTGATATCAGTTTGTTTCTGTTGATATAGAGTTCGTTCGTTGAAGAGTTTTGTTGGCTCTTTTCGTCTTCTTACCATGACTGATAAGTCTATAATTGATATGGTTCCTGTAATGTCAAAATTATGGAACATAAGCTTAATGGGTCTGATA